CTTCCTGGCCCAGGCCTTTTTAAAACCTCCCTGACCTCAGCAGCCGGTCCAATCGAAGCTGCCAATACTGGCCACAAACCGACCAATCTGCATGGCATCCCTGGCTACCTGGGCCCGCGCGCAGGGCCGGGTCTTCCCCCCCCTGCCCAGGTGACCAGAGCATCGCCTCCCAGGCGCCAGGCTTTTGTCTGCAGACAAGGAGTGAGATCCCCGCTGTGAGAGATTCAACAGCAGCCTCTCAGGCTGGCTGAGACAGATCTCTGGAGAGGGGCACCGACGGGGGCATTTCTGCCACAGCAGGAAACCTCCCACCTCCTGGTGCCCGAGGTTGGGATCTCCTGCTCTTGATCCCTAGAGCGGGGGCAGAGTTCACCCTTGCAGTTGCACTGTGGAGCTGGTCTGGTGCAGATCATCCCCGGGCACCAAGAAGCAGCGAACGCCACGGAGCAGCGGTGAAGGGAACAAGAGGCAGCAGCTTGGCAGGGACCAGCTGGGGGTTTCCAGGCCCGATTCCTTTGTGCTCAAGACTTTCCCTGTTTCCCTTCCACGGGGGCTGAGTCCAGGTCCTTCAGCAGAGCCGGGATCACACTGTGGCTGGGCACAAACTCCCCAACCCTGTGTGGGCAGCATCAGATCCCAGCCAGAGCGAGGCTGTGCCGGGCTGGGCATGGCAGCAGGTGGCACTTCCCTATCTGCTAATAGGATTTCTGTGCAACCTCTTTGCATGAACCAGGCATCCATTAGGGCTGCCAGGACCCCAGGCACTGCACCGCTGGGAATTCTGCACGTGGTGGGTAACAGGATTGACAGCAGGTCTTAGCACCCTGTCAGCCCCTCAAAGAGCAGGGAGAAGAGGCCAAAGGGACCCAAGATGCAAATCGTCCCTCAGCAGAACTGCAGGGGCCGCATCCCTGAATGGACGCCCACTGCCCTTGCTGAGCAGCCCCATAGCGCAGCTCACACAGCTCCACATCCAGGGCTTGTTTCTGCACCAGGCAGTATCCTGGAGCTGAGGAAATCAGCAGGCCTGAGTCCTGCACTTTCCAGCATCGCTGCCCCCTTCCACAAGAGGTCCCCATACTGTGGGAGGGCTGGGGCTCATGGGTTACCTGGACTGGGGCAGCCGCACATCCAGAGGGAGGTCAGAGAGACCATCACCAGCACCAGGAGACCCACCACCATATAATGCACGGCCTCCTGCCTGCACCTGCTGAGAGGGGCTGGGGAGGAAGAGGAGAGCAGAGGAGCATCAGGAGCTGAGACTGCCCTGTTTGCCCTGTGAACTCTTCAGGCTGCAGTTCCTGGGATTCCCGAGTCCCTTCTCTACCCCCAGGATCCCGTACTGTCCCTCAGAGGAAGAGGCTGGCGACAGCATGTGTCCAAGGCTTGTTCTGGGGATGGACACTGGAGGGTGGAGGTCTGCCAATGAGCAACATCAGCCCTGCAGAGCACACCATCTCCCTCAGCTTGCCTGCCCCTTCCCCTCCACCCAACCTCCTGCCACACACATCGCTCACGCTAGTGGTTCCCATCACTCCTTGACTCTTCCTTCCTCTCTGCTGATCTCTGCTTTGCCTGAGAGGTGACGGCTTCTGATGCCAGGCAAGGGGGACACACATCATATCAGGGGGTGCTGGGAACACAAGGCCCCCAAGGAACAACAACCTTCCAGCTCTGCAGCTTGGCAAGCAACACACAAGCTTGTCATTGCACACGTGGGGCTCCGATCCTTGTTCCAGGGGAATGAACGGGATTTTCACCCTGCTCAGAGGGAGAAACATTCCCAGCCTGGCTGCACAGACCAGCCCCACAGAGACCCCAGCACTTCCCTGCACCACTTGCCAGGTTTCCCCTGTGAGTAAACGCTGCATAGCCTGTTCTCTCTCTGCCCCCAGCAGCTAACGCTGAACACATTTTACTAGGCTCACTACACAGCTTCTTTTCAGCAATTTACTCTTTTACATTCTTACAGTTTCTTGTCATTTTCTAATGGGACGTGAGCAATGAGACACTCAGATATAACGGTTTGATACCTGCAACAATCACCCTGGTTCCACTCCCAAAGTCAAGGAGCCGGTGGCTGCATGTGCACAGTAATAAATGCCAGACTCCTTCCTTTGGATGTCCCTGATTTCCAGTGTTGTACTGTGTCAAAACCAAGTAGTTAAATGCCTCTGGCACAGTGGAATTTCCCGCCACAGTGGAGTTTCTCGGCACGGTGGAATTTCCCGCCGCAGTGGAAAAACCCCGGTGCAGCAAAAAGTTCCCGCCAACACTATGCAGATACGTGCACCTTCCATTGGCGGGGGATAATTATTCCTACCTGGCAGCTAGTCATTGGTTCGCTGGCCATACAAAAGTTAGAGCAGTTTCCGCCCAAGTCGGAGAACTCCGTGTACATCCTGGAGTAAACTTGGCGGACTGATCACCGACCAACAACTCCCCATCACCGGCCGGTCCTGATGTACCCCGTGCCCTGCATGCTCGATAAGTCGTTCACATTGTACTTCGAAGAGCTCACAGTTTGCAACTGTAATTCAAGCAAGTTAATTCTTCTGCCTACGCTGTGTACATTGATGGCGTAAGTAAACGATTTCTATGTTCAACCAATACGCTTCAGTGCCTAATTCCGCTCCATCGGTCAAAAGTACCCGCCTGACGTTTCGGGCTACTGGCCATAGCCCACCACAGCGTCCCATCTCAGCCGCCACATACTGGATCCCTGATTCTTGCAAGCAAATCTGCTCTCATTTCTCTCATCTGCACACTTCTCAATGTGCATGGGGGCCTCACCCGTCCTTTTCAGACACCAGTGCACTTTTCCTCCCCGTTCCACACTTTCCCCGGAGGAGCAGTGGATCTCTGCTGTCCCACCGACTCCCACAACCAGGAACCGCTGAGGCTGGTGCAGCTGTAACTGGACTCCCAACACTGTGGAAATAAAACAGGGCAATCGTCAGCTTCAAGCAGGTCTCAGACTGAAACAGGTGCCCCTCACGTCTCAGGACCACAAGGCATTTGCTGCTAATACTTCTGCTTTCCAGGCAGCCTCAAAGCAGCATCCTACCAACCACCTCTACGGCTACCTCCAAGGCCATAAAAAGGCCTTTGAAATTCAGCTCAGATCCCAGTGCTGGAATCCTGCTGAGGGTGTTCGTGTCAGCAATCTCAGCAGTGCAGAGCCATGTGGGGAGTTTACCTAAGGATGAGAAAAGCAGGGACTTGGCAAGAAACATGATGGCCATGAGTATCCTGCCCCTCCAGCCCAAGGGCTGCCGCCTAAGTGCAGAGCTGCAGTGCAAGGCAGGTTCTTTAACCTCATTGCGTTGTTGTGCACAGATCTGCAGCACATCTCCCTGCATCTGACTATGCATCAAGTTCCTGTGAACATTAACACTCATTACACCAGCAGCTAATGTGCCACAAAACGTCTCCTTCACCGTCCTGCTTGGAACAGCCCAAGTGTCATAGCAACTCGAACCCCATTGACTCTGGGGGCGCCCATGCTCCTAAATCACTTCGGTACTTTTAAGGCTCATTCTGCTGCTCTGTGTTCCAGCCATTCAAGCCCCCTATTTCTTATGGGTGCAACCCCTGCCCTGAGATGAGTGTTTGCAGCCTCTTTGGGGAGAGGCATTGGTGGCATCTGACGTCATTAGAGTAAAAGCTCCGACCTGCGTGAGAAACCAGGCAAGAAGGGCAACACCTTCAGAAGGCACCTGGAAGTCACATGCCCCTTGTGGGTGAGGCAGGAAAGCCCCATTTCCTTCTTTAGGAAACCCATCAGCCTTGACAAATCAGGTCCCTTGAACAGTCATGGATGGAGGTGGCATGTGCCCGAGTCATCCTGAAACAGGCATTTCTGAGGCGCTACTCCCATGACCCTGGAGTTAGCAGCAGGGCTGAGCTCAGGGGGTGCCACTGAACAAAGCTGCCCCTGCTCCTGCAACGTGAGCAAGGTGGATTGAAATGAAGACATCGATCTGGCAT